GTGGGATTGGGGGATATGTAGGATCGGGGCCATGTGAGTGCATGTGGGGCTCTTTTTCGTCCGGGGGGGCCTGTGGCCCCCCGGGACGAGTTCTAGCGTGAGTTCCGTGGGCCGAGTATAGAAAGCACACACTGCAAAACGTGCTCTTGAGTCCTTTCCCCTTTTCCCCTTTTCCCCTTTTCCCCTTTTCCCCTTTTTTCCGCTTCTGGCGTGAATGGCTCGCTGGCTGTCGGCTCTCCTCTCCGCTTACGAGTGCGTCTATGTGAATACAGGTTGTAAGACGTCCGACCGGTCGATTTGAATAATAATAAACAAGAAAAGAAAACAAAATTTATCAGCAGATTTACTCCTAACACAAAATCCTGCCCCTGTTGACTCATAAAGCCGTCAACTCCTTGCTGTGCAGAATGCCAAATGAGCTTAAGCAACATGAAGTTTAAAGTAACAGGAAACAAAAGAAGTTTCGGATGTTGCTAGTCAGCCTCTCCTAGTTGTACGGCTAGTAAAAGTGACCTTCGGAGCGCCGGGAACTAGGTTTTGCTCTCGCCCTTATGCAAGCTTTGCGCACGGACGCTTTTCATATCCTAGTGCTTGTGCTTGGGTCCTGCTTTGAAGTCACGTGACGCCGAAGGAACGTTTCGGCTGATCGCTGCGGGGAGCGGAGGAGGGGGGGGAGGAGGAGGAGGACACTAAAGTCAGCCTTTATTGTCGAAGTCCATTCCGAAAACAGCGCCGTTGAAGTCGCTCTCGCCATCAGCTTCACCATCAGTTTCTTTGTTATATTTTTTCAGATATATATGTGTGTACGTACGTACGTACGTACATATATATATATATATATATATATATATATATATATATATATATATATATATATATATATATATATATATATATATATATATATATTTATATATATATATATATATATATGTACGTACACTCACTCGTACACATACACACACACACACACACACACACACACACATATATATATATATATATATATATATATATATATATATATATATATAGAGAGAGAGAGAGAGAGAGAGAGAGAGAGAGAGAGAGAGAGAGAGAGAGAGAGAGGGAGAGAGAGAGAGAGAGAGAGAGAGAGAGAGACACACACACACACACACACACACACACACACACACACACACACACACACACATGTATATATATATATATATATATATATATATATATATATATATATATATATATATATATATATACATGTGTGTGTGTGTGTGTGTGTGTGTGTGTACAGATAGATAGAGAGAGAGAGAGAGAGTGAGAGAGAGAGAGAGAGATGAACCACTTAAGTGACCTCCATAAGCACTTCGATCCATTCTCCATCGGTCACCAGAAGCTGCGTATCATAGAGATGGTGTGGGGGTTGGGGGGATGGGGGGGTGGGGAGGAGGGGGGGAGGGGCGACGAGAAATTCAACGCGTAGTAGAACATTATCCTCCCTTTGGGGCCCCTCCGTTATTTATTCACTGTTATTTCTTTCCTGTTTCCTTCAGTTTGTTTGTTTGTTTTCATTTTTTCTCTCTCCCAAAATTTCTTGTTGTGTAGATATATATAGTTGTTGTTTTTTTGTTGTTGTTATTTTTCTTGTTTTGTCTTTCTCAATCTATTTATTCTTTAACCCTTATTTTCCTTCCATTCTAAACTTTCCTTCTTTTTTCTTTTCTTGATCTTCTTAATATGGTTTTTTTCTTCCGTATCCCTTCATTATTTTTTTTTCCTTTTCTTTTCTCTTTCTTTCACTCTATTTAATTTTCCTACCGACTTTTCGCTATCTGCCGAAAACGGTATAAATTCCGTGCTGTTAAATAATTAATTAATGAACGCTTGAGGCAAAACCCCACTCTCGGCCGCCGCACCAGACGCCTGCCGACTCCGGTGGGCGGTGAAAAATCGATACGTTTGGAAGAAGACCGTGGATGGGCGGGGTGTCAACAGCGTCGGCGTCTGATACGGGCTGCTCCCTCATGCACTGGGGTCGCTTTTGTTCTCTTTCAAGTTTTTAGGTTTCCATACGTTTCGGCTCTCTCTCTCTCTCTCTCTCTCTCTCTCTCTCTCTCTCTCTCTCTCTCTCTCTCTCTCTCTCTCTCTCTCTCTCTCTCTCTCTTTCTCTCTCTCTCTCTCTCTCTCTCTCTCTCTCTCTCTCTCTCTCTCTCTCTCTCTTTCTCTCTCGCTCTCTCTCTCTCGCTCTCTCTCTCTCTCTCTCTCTCTCTCTCTCTCTCTCTCTCTCTCTCTCTCTCTCTCTCTATATATATATATATATATATATATATATATATATATATATATATATATATATATTCTCAAGGATGTGTGTGTGGAGCCGCATGTGAGCGTATGGCCGCGTCATCTTCCTCCCTCAGCGCCCTGTCCCCCCCCCCCCCCCCCGACGCCGCCGAAGCACAAGCACAGAGCGCCAACCGCACGAGTCAAAACAGGGCTCGGGGCCAGGTGCGACAGGCGTCACCTCCACCCCCCATCTCCCCCTTCTCACTGCCCCCCCCCTTCTCTCTGCCCCCTATCATCCTACCCCTCCCCCTCCCCCTCCCCCCGACCCCCCTCTCACAGCCCTCCCACCCCCCGACCCTGACCACAGAAAGTGAAATGGACGCAACAAAAAGTGTCTCAAGACGGGATTCTCCGCGCGTCTCGCCCCGCCCGCCGCCTCGCTCGTCACCACACCCCAATCGCCGTCATCTTCGCCTCATCTCGCTCTCACCTTCACTCTCGTCTCTGTTGTCACTGTCGCTCTCGTCCGTTCATCACGTTCCGCTCTCAGCTTCCCTCCTGTCGGCTCTTACTCTCGCTCTCCATCGCTCTCGCTTATAGCATCATTCACTCTCACTCTCGCTCTCTATCACTCTCCCTTACACTATCATCCATTCTCACTCTCTCTCTCCATTGCTCTCCCTTACACTATCATCCACTCTCACTCTCACTCTCACTCTCACTCTCCATCGCTCTCCCTTACACCATCATCCACTCTCACTCTCACTCTCTATTGCTCTCCCTTACACCATCATCCACTCTCGTTCTCACTTTCATTCACTCTCATCATCTTCACTCCAACCTGCTCTCACTCTCTTATCTAGGACGGTAGAAGCTGTCAGTAAGCTTAGTCATTGTTATTCTTGTAATGTATATTCATGTTTGTATGATATTGGCTACGCAGATGTTCAAATTATGAAAGAAATTCCAAATATTTCATCTGCTTGTCACCTTCACGCCCACCTGCTCTCACTTTCATTCTCAACTGCTCCCCTCTCATTTTCATTCACTCTCACTCACTCTCATCTGCTCTTATCTTCTCTCCCATCCACTCTCACTCATCTGCTCTCACATCCATTCCCATTTACTCTCACATTTACTCTCACTTTCATTCTCATATACACTTACTCTCACTCTCGTCCATTCTCACATTCATTCTTATCCACTCTCATTCTCCCCCTCTCACCTTCATCCACTCTCACTCTCCCCTGCCCCCCTCTCACTTTCATCCAATCTCACCCACTCTTATCCGCTCTCACCTTCACACCTACCTGCTCTCACTCTCACTCTCCCCTGCCCTCCTCCCCCCTTCATCCACTCTCACTCACTCTCATTCTCTCTTATCTTCTTCCCCATCCACTCTCACTCTCACCTGCATCCTCATCCTCTTCACATCCTGCCCTCTGACGGTCCACGCCCTCCCTGTTCTCTGCATTTGGGTCTCCTCCCCCCCCCCCCTCCTCCTCCTCCTCCTCCTCCTCCTCCTCCTCCTCCTCCTCCTCCTCCTCCTCCTCCTCCTCCTCCTCCTCCTCCTCCTCCTCCTCCTCCTCCTTCACATTTCGCCGACACCATTTGCTCTATATAGCTTACGCAAGTACTACGTGCTATACGTGTTTATATATCCGTCTTTTTATCTGTCTGTCCATCTAGGTATGTGTGTATGTATGTATGTGTGTATGAATGCATATATGTATGTATGTATGTATGTATATTTGCATGTGTGTGTATATATAAATCACCCTAACTCCCTAGTCCCCCCCCCCCTCCAACAACCCTCGACCCCCCTCCCCCTCCCTCGCTCTCCCTCTCCCCCCCCACCCCCCACCCTGACCCCACTACCAGCATCCGTCGAGGCTCGTCTCCGCGTCATCTCCGCCGCACGCCTGTCACCCTCCTCCCGACCGCCACGACCTGCACCATCTTCGACCAGCTGCGCCCACCACCTGCGCCGCCACACGTCTCCCGGTGCGTAAGAACTAGAGCGGGACGCGCCGACGGTTACGTCACCACACGCTGGTCTATTTATGGTGCGGCGCTTCCTCGCGGTGACCACACCCTCTTCCTCCTCTTCCTCCTCCTCCTACTCCTCCTTCTCCTCCTTTTTTCTTCTTCTTCCTCCTACTCCTCCTCCTCTCCTCTTCTTCTTCCTTCTCCTCCTCCTCCTACTCCTCCTACTCCTCATCTCCTCCTCCTCCATCTTTTCCTCCTCCTTCTCCTGCTCCTCCTCCTCTTCCTCCTTCTCCTCCTCCTCCTCCTCCTCCTCCTCCTCCTCCTCCTCCTCCTCCTCTTCCTCTCCTTGCTCCTCCTCCTCTTGCTCCTCCTTTTCTTTCTGCTCCTCCTCCTCCCTTTCCTCCTTCTTCTTCTATTTCCCTTCTCCTATTCCTCCTTCTTTTATTGTTGCTCCTTCTCTTCCTCCTTCTCATTCCCATTCTCATTCTCATTTTCCACCTCCACCTCTTCCTCCTCCTCATCTTCCTCCTTCACCTCCTCCTGCTCCTCCTCCTCCTCCTGCTCACTCTTCAACCTTTCCTCTCTTCCACCTTTCCACTCTTTTCTCTTCTGGACCCTTCACATTCGCTCTAGTTTTCTCCATCAATACCCCCCCCCCCCACCCCTTTAACCTCTCCTGACACCCACCCCCCCTCCGTCGCAGAATCCGTTAAGATGCGTCGAAGATCCCAGGCGACGTGTGTGTG